CACACACACACACACACACACACACACACACACACACACACACACACACACACACACACATTAAACATTAGTCACAACAAATTATGTCACTCAAAATAATGTCCTCAATCAATTCTCTCAGATTAAACTCACCACTTCGTCAACCACCTTAGTCTGGAAGAAAACAAAAGCAAAAAGTGTAAATTTACAAGTATAAAAAATGATAATGTTTCAAGGAAACAAAATGTTCTCAAATTAAACATTTACAGCATTATCTGAAAAAGGTGAATGAATGTCTGTACACACAAAAATCAGTGGCATACAAAAAAACATTGGCAGAAATATTGTATTACATTATGTTTATGCCAATAAATATGTATCTAAATGTATATATATATATATATATATATATATATATAAATGCTACCTCTTGTTTGAGTAGATATAAGATAAAATAAATGCCTAACAATCCAACAGCGGTCTGTTTTTGACCAACAAAATTAGATTTATATTAGTCAGTTTTTAAGAATTACAGTTATTACTTAAATATTATTCATTTTAAACAAAACCTTAAGAAATTTGACAACCCTAAAAAGGCACAATATTTCTTCTTACTTTGCATTATTAAGGCAAAGCAATCAAGGCAGATTTATTTATATAGCACATTTGATACACAGTGGCAGTTCAAATTGCTTTACATAAACAGAAATAAGAGACAAGTATAAATAAAATAGAAGCAAATAATATATAAACAGATGAAAACAGTATTGTGGATTTTCCCACTGAATGCTAGTGAATCGTTATTAACCGCTGCAGTACTCTTGTCAGAGAGTCGGAGTCATCATATTCAGTTTGACCATTTATTGATCAAGATTTGACCATATACACTTGTCAGTGTATTTGAGGTAGTTTCTGAAAATGAGTAACAACAAATAATTACAAAGTATATCCAATGATTTAGCATATCGCAATCTACATAATAAACAACTAGTATAGTGTACGGACACATGACATAGACTGAAAAAATATCTCCGCAAAAACAACAGTACACAGTGTGTAATGAATAGTACTAAATAAGGAAATAAAAGTTATATAATTAACTAAAATTATCCTTAACACAGACATTAGTAATAATGATCACAAATGGCTATTATCAACATGAACCATTACCAACACAGTCTCACGGCAATTCGTAACTTTTTCATTTAGTGGCTAATTCGTATGAATTCGTACGATCTAATTCGTACAATTTAGTACGATTTGCTCATCCCCCAATGACGGTTGGGGTTAGGGGTTTAGTCAGGTGCCAAGCCTCTTTTTTAAAATCGTACCATTTCGTACGACTGTACTCGTACGAATTCGTACGAATTAGCCACTAACCTGGCAAAACTTAATACTTACGTTTTCTCGTGAGATCAGGCTGACCTTTACACATATTAATATACTGAGACTGTAAACATGAGCGATGCACACTATTGCGTCTAATGCCTAGTTCAGACTGCGTGATTTTAGCCCCGATTTTGGCTCGCCGACAGGTTTAGAGAAATCGCCGACAAATGCCTGAAATCACAGGCAAATCACTGCTCGTGCACGTGAGTGACAATCACACAGTATGAACTATCAAAGACGTGATCTGAGAGAATCACCGATGAGTCTCCGATGCCTGTGAGATATTTGGCGTGCTGAATATCTGGAGCTGTCGGCGATTCAAATCATGCAGTGTGAATTGAGTTTTGACTGAAAATAACATCAGCGATCGCCTACAGCCAATGAGAGAGCAGCATTCACTTGCGTGTGCGTGTGTGTATACCTGCTGCAGGCCAGCGGGAGGCTGGGGGAGAAGTTAAAATTTATTTTTGGTTTATTTGGACCCACGAAACGGAGGAAAAACTAGTGGCGGATTGACTGGACTCAGGAGCAACCGTGTCTGTTTGACGTTTCATACAGAAAGAAATTAGTTTATTATCAACGTTGAGGAGAAATGGCTAATTCCCTTTAAACCCAGGTGAGCAAACATGTACATGTTCTACCCCATTAAAGGCTTCTTTCTCATTATGTAGTTAATAACAAAAGATATACGACGTGTTTTTGGCTGTGAGACGTAGTTTGGACGAAGTTGTTGGCGATTCTTCCTATAGTAAAGTCATGCAATGTGAAAGTCCCTGTCGCCGATCCATCTTGCAGTGTAAACAAAGCAGCGACAAAACACAAGCCCAGATAGTCATGCAGTGTGAAAACATCTGTGACACGACTTCTTTGAAAATCATGCAGTCTGAACTCGGCATAAGGATCAAATTACACCCAGCGATCGCTAAACATTAGGAACATCACCACAATATCAGTTACTACCCTTCTACACCATAATAATCAAAGTCATCCATCATATATGTGATAGAAACTTACTTTGTCAACTACTTTCACTTGTACATAATGCGGTCTCCGAGCAAGCGCACGCGGTCTGACTGACGTGCTGCCGACTTGACGCTAAAAGCGTCTATAATGTAGGCAGTGCACTACGTCTTTTACGTAAACGTCACGTAAATCACAGGTCCTAAATTTAAAGGGGAAGAATTCACAACAACCAGCGTAAAAACCAGTGTATCATATTTTCTCATTTTACTCTGTGACTTCCCCATTCTGGTGATCAGTCCCTCTCTATGGACTTTTTCGGTACCTATTAAACTACTGGACGTCTCTAACAGATTCAATTTTTCAGCTGAAATGGAAAAGTTATGCTTTACAGCTCTAATTACGTACCCCCCCCCATTTCAACTTCCTTCTGGAAGTAAATTGCACAGCCCTGATTTTAACCCCCTCTCGGGAGTAAATCGATTTAGCTAGCCAAACGTAATAAAAGGTCTTGATCTCAGCCAGACGCCCAGCCAGAGTATGTATGAGGGTGTTTGCCAGTGCTGGGTTGTGGCTGGGAGGGCATCCGCTGCATAAATCATATGTTGGAATAGTTGGTGGATGGCAACCCCTGATAAATAAGGAATATAACCAAAGAAAAATTAATGATGATAGACAGACTCTGCATTGTGAAAATTACAGACAAGCACAAGAATAAAGAATCTGAACTGCAGCACGATCAGCCGTTTCATTGGGATTGTAAACAGCACACCGCTGACATCATGACACATTGGAAAGTTGCATTTCCTATTCAGCTTATTTGTGTGTGATGATGAGTGACATCACCCTCTGCTAGGACGAGCATCTGATTAACAGATGTAAACAGAGCAGCGGAGACAGAGGAGCATGAGACGTCAATGCTTCTGGCCTGCGATTAAAGCTCCTGATTGTGCTTTTCTTGTCTGCATGATGAGCACCTGCGTCAACAGTCGCTCCAGAGCAGCATTAACGTGAGGAAAACCGGGTGAGATATACATGCTGCATGCAGGATCATGCTGAACCGCTGTGTACCTTAAAAACGTTTATGGTCCCATGCCTAGTCCTGACCTCATGGGTTTGCTTGCCTTCCCTCTGATCTGCTGTTTTCTATTCTCAGAGAAGCACTAGGGAACTCTAACACAGTCAGTCATAAAAGTTTCCTCAGCATGTGCAGAAGCTGTGAGACTCTAAGGTCAGCTCACCACATTAAAGACACTCGGTAGGTTTAAACTGCTGCAGACAGTATCACACATTCCTGTCTACCAATAGGAAACAATGCTGAGAAATGTCAGAGGATTTTCAATAAATGTGAAGAAAAATATGGGTGGAATCTCCTCCTTGATATACACAGACAGACATGAAGTGTTTTTGAACCAACCAAGCAATTTCGTGTTAGATAGAGAGATAGATAGATAGATAGATAGATAGATAGATAGATAGATAGATAGATAGATAGACGGACGGACGGACGGACGGACGGACGGACGGACGGACGGACGGACGGACGGACGGACGGACGGACAGACAGACAGACAGACAGACAGACACAGACAGACAGACAGACAGACAGACAGACAGACAGACAGACAGACAGACAGACAGACAGACAGATAGATAGATAGATAGATAGATAGATAGAGTTGTCTTGACTAAAAATTGGTCAATTGGATGGATTACGTCCAATTGGTGCTAGAGCTAAAATTGGGCTGTCAGAGGAAATCCTAATAGGTGTGAAGAGCTCTAAATCAGACCCTTGGGCTATTTTCAGATATCTATTAGCTTTTGTTCAGGTGCTCCGGTTTCCCACACACTCCAAACACATGCGGCATAGGTGAATGAAAGAAACTAAATTGGCCGTAGTGTATGTGTGAATTTGTGCGTATGGGTGTTTCACAGTACTGGGGTGCAGCTGGATGGGCTTCCGCTGTGTAAAACATATGCTGGATTAGTTGGCGGTTCATTCCCCTGTGGCGACCCCTGATAAATAAAGGGACTAAGCCAAAGAAAAATGAATGAATGAATGAATGAAAATGGTTCCATGTAGTCAAGAAGTCACATTAGACACTGAACTTGAATTACCCACAAGTGTGAGAGTGTCTATACACTCAAAAATAAAGGAATAAAAGCCCAAACTCTTCAAGTGGTTTATATATTTTTACTTTTAAGATACTATTAAGCATACTTTAGGAACTAATATCTCTAAGACATCATTACGGACCCTTTAGATCCTTTTGAAAAGCCTTTTTTGTGTCTTTATTTCTGAGACTGTTGAGTCAGCTTACTATTCCCTATTCTGCAGTCACCTTTAGGGGTTTCCACCTTGAGATAAGTTTAAACATTCACTCATTATGCCCTTGATGCCCTTTTACAGTAATGGAATTTATAGTCAGCTTTTTTCCTGTCCTCAGGAGAGATACAGAGATAAGGAAAAGCTTCAGGAAAAGCGAGTGTTCTCGAATATCCCTAAAGACACATTTATCCTTCATTTTTGCCTTAAGATTCGGCCAAACTTTGAGCTAAAGTCTTGTTTTCACAGCTTTACCGTGTTTAAACAATCCTTAGATAATCTTTTATTGCTCTAATGCTGCTCTTTCATGGCTCATAGACTTAAAAGAAACATTTTTGAGATGTTTCTTGAAGAAACTCATCAGAAGCAAAGGTGAGGCTAAACAAGATCAGACTGACGGCTGATCCACCCAATCAAATGTGAAACAAAATGGCTTTACGCATGACAGAGCATTTTTTGAGTGTAATTGTTTTACGTTTAACCAACTTCAATGAAACCCTGCACTTTTAGGACAATACTGAGTTCTTTCAGGACAAATTTACAGTTTTTCTCAGTGGCTTTGGTGCATTTCTCACAACACTGTTTACATTTGCACAACAGTTAATGCATTTCCCAAAACAATTAGTATAAACTGCAAAACCTAGTTGATAACCTGCAAAAGCGTTTCACTTGCTCAAAACGGAGAGCTCATTCCTCAAAAGCAAGTATTGATGTCATTAGCTGTTTCCATTCACCTATTTTTATGCGCATTTTGCATATGCACATAAAAAACGGTTGATGGAAACACCATGATGCGCATACATTTTGAAAATGCTCAGTAGGAGCTGAGTAGGATAAACTTTTTATCTGATAAGAAAAGATGCGCATAAAATACGATGGAAACACTTTTACCACACAAATTTCAGTATGTGCATAAAAAAAGTCATGTGATTTTGTAATAAGAGATCATGTGATGATGAAAATGTGTGTAAATAGACAAACCAGCAGGCTGAGCACATTGTAAAACATCTGAAATGTTGTTTAGGTCATTATAAAACGCCTTACCATTTAAGTGTTAGTGTTATTATATTGTTAATGACCTCCAGAATCGAAAGCATCTGTGCTCCGCGTCTGACACCTTCACAAGTCAGGATTGCCTTCTGAGGCGCAAGTTCTTTATTAGATGAAAAAAAGATTGACTACTGCAGCAAGTTCAGTTTTTACTGTTGACAGAAAGTGACGATTTTGTTCGCTTTGACTCGCTGGATGGAAACGCTGCTTAATTCGCAGGTTTTTTATGTGATAATAAAGTTCATCCGCATTTTTAAATGGAAACATAGCTAATGAAAGTGTCAGTGTCATCAAGATGAAAAGTACTGCCACCATTGTTTATGAACAAAATAGTGAAATGGCTTTGTCATGTTTTCATTATGACAGGTTGTTCTGTAAGTTTTTCCCAATGCAAAAAAGTCAGATGTTGGTGACACGTCCTGAAAATGCTCTAGACAGCTCTATATACTATTTGCACAGCCATTCGAAAACTACAGTAAAATTAGACATCACTGCATTTAATGAGGTATCTGAGTACAAGACACTGAATATGTATGTTTTACATTTTTACTGCATTTGCTCGTTGCAATTCTAATTTATTCGCAGCATTGTGCAAAAGAATAAACACACCCTTATTTACAACAAGCATAAGCTTCCTTTGGGTAGAGCTGTGCACAACTGTACACAATATTGCAGAACATATTGGAACTGAGCCTACAACATACACAGGTCTGTAAATCATTCATCAAATTGTTCATTTTAGAAGACTTTTCCAAGGGGAAAAAAGATTTAAAGATTTTTTTATAAAATTAGCTTTGCAGATTTTGACAACTTGTTCAACATTTTTGTATGTAATAACTTAAGTAATGAAACGAGGACTATTAGTTATATATAATGACTATTCAGCATTCACAAGTCTAGTTTTTCTTGATTGCTTTGATGCAGCCGTCAACTGAAACTCCACATTTAAAAACAGTTAACACATGAGCCTAAACCGCGGCACTCATGGTCAAAATAACACATTTTGCTTGCAAAACGAACATACCATTTCAAAACATTTAAAATATTTAATTATTTAATGGAACAATATTAAGTGGATTGTTGATTTGGATGTTATGTATGAATTTTGTATTTTAATGTTTTTATTAGTCTTTGTTGTTGTGTATTAATGTAATTTTGTGTTAGGTTCGATGGACCCCAGGAAGAATAGCCACTACATTGGTAGTGGCTAATGGGGATCCAGATAAGTAAATAAATAAAAAAAAAAATATATATATATATATGCAACAAAAGCTCATTTTACCTTTAAACCACACCTGCAAACAAGTATATGAATTCTTTCAATTAATCATTACACAATGGACAACAAAATACAAAATACAGAACTCAGTGTGAATCAGTGCACCATAGCTTGCCATTGTAGCCTTCTGCCAATGCCATTTGTTGCCTTTCTATTTGGGCTGTCAAATTAGCTTTTTTGCAAAGAATTGGATCCAGAAAAAGAAATTAAATTTATAGATTAAATTTATATTACAGTTTTTCTAGTTTGCTTTGACCTGGTTAAAGAAACTAGGTTCCTCTTCATTTTCATTATCACTATCCCAGCAGAGCAGAGGACCGGTCTTGCAAATGTGTAAACAATTTCTCATTGGGTTGACACATTTTCCCCACCATTTTTCCAAACAGTCAACACAGATGTCATTCAAGCAGTCCAAACTCCATTGTTTTAGTTTTGGTAACCAAACAGAATCCATCTATTCCTAACTATTAAAAACTACCAACATCAGTATGAAATCACTGAAGCACCGGTTTGACACTCCTTAACACAAATCTTCAATTAGCCATCATTCTGCAAACCTTATATAAACGATGGAAGCTCTGTGTTGTTCTGTGCCAGCATTGATGGAGGAGGTCAATATGGCTATGTCCTATACTCCCAATAGATTTGACTGTATATTAGTTTACATGTGTTTTCTCTAATATTTACAGTATTTTATTACTTTTGTCTGTTTTTTTATTATACAGTATTTCAGTTTTCAGCCACAGTTTGAAAAATGTCATGAATTCAATATATATTCAATCAAAGCACATCTTATTCTTGATCCAATTCTTTGCAAAAAGGCAAATTTGACAGCCCAAATAGAGACAATAAATGCCATTGGCTATAAGCTACAATGGCAAGCAATGGTGGTGCATTTTGAGTTCTGTATTTTGTATTTTGTTGTCCATTGTGTAATGATTAATTGAAAGTGCTCATATACTTGTTTGCAAGTTGTGTAGTTTGAAGGTAAAACTAGCTTTTATTGCATATGTTAAATGTTTTGACACGATATGTGGCGTTTGCAAGCAAAATGTGTTATTTTGACCATGAGTGCCGCTGTTTAGGCCTGTGTGTTAACTGTTTTGAAAATGTGGAGTTTCAGTTGACAACTACATCCAAGCAATCGAGAAAAACTGTAAATTCATGACATTTTTCAAACGGTGGCTGAAAACTGAAATGCTGTAAAAAAAAAATAAAAAAAATAAATAAAATACTGTAAATTTTAGAGAAAACACATGTAAACCAAATATACAGTCAAATCTATTGGGAGTATAGGACCTAGCCACTATTGACCTCTTCCATCCATGCTGGCACAGAACAACACAGACCTTCCACCGTTTTTATTGTTTGCAGAGTGACTGCTAATTGAAGATTTGTGTGACGCAGTGTCAAATCAGTGCTTCAGAGATTTCATACTGATCTTGGTAGTTTCTAATGGATAGGAATAGATGGTTTCTGTTTGGTAACCAGCTAAAACAATGGAGTTTGGACTGCTGCAATGACATCCGTGTTAAAGGGTCACGAAACACCAAAACACATTTTTTAAGCTGTTGACAGTCGTATATGTGTCCCACATTGCTAAAAACACTATTAGGACACCTATATTTCACTAAAAAGTGTAAATTGGTTGTTTTTGCGTTATTTCAAGCAAATTCGTACTTCCGGTTTGAAACTAATTTTTGAAGCTGCGTCACGGTCATGACATAATACTGTGTATTCCAGCGTGCAGACTGGACGTCTGTGCCAGAGTGTGTCTTATTACGTCTTACAGTGTGATGCATTAATGCATGAGTAAGGCTTGGTTCAAACCAATCAGCGCGCTCTATTGTGCAACTTCATTAATATTCATTACTGTCACAGTGTTTAGACGACAGAGACGCCACGTTGTGTTGGCAAAACAAGCGTGAAGTGTTGCTTTTATAGTTTGCTGCAGTTAAGTTTTGTTTTCATTTTCTCTCTGTGAGAGCGCAGCTGGAGTCACGTGTGGATTAACAGTGTACGCGACGCTCGACAACAATAACTTACGTGTCTAAGGAGGATTATTGTTTACCTGAGAGCTGTTCTCATCTGCAAACGCTGAGATCTGGATTCGCTTGTAGTCTCCTCTAAATAAAGACGCGGCTCTAGTTGCTGGTGATTGTCCTGTCTCTACAGATTGGGTAAGTGAGCGACCAGTGCTCTTTGTTTGTTCAGTTTTTTCGTATCGAACAAACTATTGCATCGAGTGTAAACATGTTAGCACTACAACCAAACTTTAACCTCGTGTTTCACCACATTTTGTTTGCGGAATAACACACGCGGCTTTCTGACACTACCTGCCCTGTGCATCTAAGTTTACAGGAAATACGGAGTTTTTTTTTCTCTCATTCACCGTGCGGTATTAAACATTGCATGAAAAATACACGCTTAGAGCAGTTCCTCGAATCAAATATCTCGTTTATCGCGAGGGACATGAAAGAATTCCCTGAATGAAAGAGCCAAACTGCAGTTAAAGTCCACCATTTAGTAATTTGGCAAATAATTCGACTACAGATGTCCATGTAAACACAGTCACTTTGTCCCCTGTGTGTGTATTTTGACTCTGAAACTCAGCGCGCCCAAATAGACACTCCCACACCATGCCTCTTTTCTTCCTCCGACACTCCCCCCTAAACAAAGCTGGACACGCCCACTTTTCTGACTTTTTCCAAAGTAGAGGTGTGAAAACACCCTGCTGAAACGAGGGGGTTTCATGGCCCTTTAACTGTTTTGAAAAATGTTCGGGAAAATGTGTCAATCCAATGAGAAAGGGTTTACACATTTGCAAGACAGGTCTTCTGCTCTGCTGGGTTAGTGATGAGGAAAATAGAGAGCATCCTATTCCTAGTTTCTTTAACCAGGTCAAAGCAAACAAGAAAAACTGTACTTTTGACTGGCGTGACATAAGCAAATGATAACCTTATAAAGGTTAAAAAAGCATTTGCAGTTTGCTGGAAGGAATGAGAAACTGATACTATGATGTGCACAAATGACTAACTTTTATGAGAAATGCATTAACTCTTGTGAAAATGAAAATAGTGTTGTGAGAAATGCACCAAAAGCCACTGTAAAACTGTCAAACTCCACCTCCATTTATTCTCCTTAAACATTACTCACAATCTCTCTGATGATCTTGTCCACGACGCCCTTGTCCTGTATATTGTGCACGTATCGGCTGGCTGGAGCACTGGCCAGAAGCTGCAGCTTCTCCATGTTGGCTGCGGATGTTAAACCGACTATGAAGAATTTAATCCCTTGGTTCTTCGCATCAGCAAGAGCAGAGAAAATATCAGGATTCTTGGGATGCGAGGCGCCGCCGTACATCAGAATAGCCACCTTGACCGTGCCTGGGCCGGACTCCTCCAGGTAGATGCGGGTGAGGTTGGTGATGGCGTAGGTGGTATAGGTTCCATGCCCGATGAACGGGATAGAGGCGACGCGGCTCTGGAAGCTGGGCACACCCCTCCAGTCTTTAAAGGACTGCTCTGTGATCACATGACTGCTGTATTGAAGGAGAGCTGATCTGAAGTTCAAGCCCTGGCCTGTTTGGAGACGGATGTTCGGGATACGGTTGACAAGATCAGTAACGAAGCTCTTCTCCTGGCCATGGTTGTCTTTGGCACTTTCAGAGCTGTCCACCAAAAACGCCAGTTCCAAATTACAGTTCTCGTCTGAACACAAGGGGGAAAAAAAATAATTAACATCTTTATTTAAAACATTTTTATGTCAAAGAGGTTTGGTGATACATTAAAATAAGGATGATGTTGAATAATGTATTTACTAACAGTAATCTATCTAATAGTCCATTCATCCATCCATCCATCCATTATTCCAGTAACCCATCCATCTATATGTCCATCTATTTATCTAGTAATCCATTTATCCATCTTGTAGTCCATCCACCCATCCATCTATCTAGTAATCCATCTATCCGTCCATCTATTCTACTGACCCATCTATCATACATCCATCAAACCATCCACCCATCAATCCATCCATCCATCCATCCATCAGCTATCTAGTAATCAATCCATCCATCCATCCATCTGTCCATCCATTTATCTAGTAATCCATCCATACTGTATATCCATATATCTATCTAGCAATCAATCCATCTATCCATCCACCAGCTATCTAGTAATCCATCCATCCATCCATCCTTTTGTCCGTCCATCTATCTAGTAATCCATCCATCCATTTATCTAGTAATCCATCCATCCATCCTTTTGTCCATCCATCTAGCTAGTAATCCATCCACCCACCAGCTATCTAGTAATCCATCCATCCATCCTTTTGTCCGTCCATCTATCTAGTAATCCATCCATCCATTTATCTAGTAATCCATCCATCCATCCTTTTGTCCATCCATCTATCTAGTAATCCATCCACCCACCAGCTATCTAGTAATCCATCCATCCATCCTTTTGTCCGTCCATCTATCTAGTAATCCATCCATCCATTTTTTTAGTAATCCATCCATCCATCCTTTTGTCCATCCATCTATCTAGTAATCCATCCACCCACCAGCTATCTAGTAATCCATCCATCCATCCTTTTGTCCGTCCATCTATCTAGTAATCCATCCATCCATTTATTTAGTAATATATCCATCCATCCATCCATCCACCCCTTCATCCATCCATCCTTTTGTCTGTCCATCTATCTAGTAATCCATCCATCTATCTGTCCATCTATTTATCTAGTAATCCATCCATCCGTCCATCCATATAGTAATCCATCCATCCATTTATCTAGTAATGCATGCATTCATCCATCCATTCCTGCATTTATGGCTATTATTTTACAATATAACATTTTACATTGGACTACAATATCATTTTTAAAAACTGCATGTGAGTTTAAACTGAACTTAATACGTGAGTTCAAAATTAGGTGAAGTAAAGTAAAATACAGAAACGGGTAAAATGACCAATATATTGAAACAACAACTTAATAATAACTATGAACATAATGTTATATAAATGACATGATAATATAATACAAATGCAATACTAAAATGTGCTAAAAGCAAATGAATAAAACTTTAAAATAACAAAAAATAAATAAAAATTCAATATGTGAACAAAAACTACAATTGTAAACCAACAATGCTAAAACAAACAGCAACATTGCTGGGGTTTTTTTCTGTTTTTTTTTTTTCATTAAAAAAGGTCAGCCACTGATTTTTATTTGCCATGAATAATTTGACAACTGTTTGATTATTTATACAAATAAAATCAAGGCAAATACCTCAAAGTGGCTGTCAAAACCAAACGTAATGTTAAAGATAAATGTGAACCAGCTGAAACGGCCCCGGTCTACAGTAAATCACATTTATGAAGAAAAAGAAGAAACATGTCAAAGAGGAAATTTGCCCCAGGACAGCAAGCAGGGTTTAGATCAAACTCAGGAGCCCTGGAGAGCACAGCAGACTGCATGCAGGAACTTTTCTTCTAGCTCTTGAGAAGTATTTCAATCAGTTTCATTTGTTGGAAACCAAAAAAACAGATACAAGAATGAAATCTGATTATCTCACACCACCCGCTTAGATAAAACATGACTAGAGTTTTTAAAATAAAATGAATGTGTTTTGAAAATGAGGGTTTTAAAAAGCATTTGTGCTGAAGAGCATGTGATATTTACCTTTGTTTTTGGGGATCACATTTGAGGTGATTGGTTTACTTTTACGTCTTCCATTCCTATTGTCTTCTACAAAATCTTCAGGATCTTCATCTTCATCATCAAAATCCTTCAGCTGAGCCAAAACAAGCTGCGCTGCCGACAGCAAAACCAGCCAACGCACACACAGCCGCAGCATCACTACAGCAGGAAAGTGACAAACAGATGCATATTCAATATTAGGCATGGCTACACTTTTGTTTGGTCAAACTTTATTTTAAGGTGTCCTTGTGTGTATTCATAAACTTACTAACTAATTGATTACATGTACATATTTTAGGGTTATAATGCAAGTTAGGGATATAAGTTGTATAAGTTGCATGCAATTCATTCATTTTCCTTCGACTTAGTCCCTTGGACTGAGGGGAAAACCAGAGCACCTGGAGGAAACCCACACCAACAAAGGGAGTACATGCAAAGTCCACACAGTTGGGACTCAAACCAGCGACCTTCTTGCTGTGAGGCGACAGTGCTAACCACTAAGCCACTGTGCTGCCCCTGCATGCAATTATGCATCATTCATTGTAATTATAAAACAATATATAATAATAGGAATTTAGAAATAATAACAATAATAAGAACGCCTTAAAATAAAGTGTTACCAGAATGGGAAAAGTGGTTGATATGTAAGGAAAGTAAAGACATCCCCAGCTAAATAACGTGTAACTGTTACAGAAAAATGGTAACCTTAGTCTTTTGGCTTTGTTGTTGTGTATGATCAATTCTATTTTACTTCATTTTATTTATTCTTTGCATATATGCACTGAGATGTACATACATGAATATTGTATCTGTTATAGCTGAGGACAATATACAGTTTAAATGTGACATACAATATCTCTCCTTACATATATATATATATATACAGTTGAAGTCAGAATTATTAGCCCCCTTTTGATATTTTTTCTTTTTTAAATATTTCCCAAATGATGTTCGACAGAGCAAGGAAATTGTCACAGTATGTCTGATAATATTTTTTCTTCTAGAAAAATTCTCATTTGTTTTATTTCGGCTAGAATAAAAGCAATTTCGAATTTTTTTAAAACTATTTTTGGGACAAAATTATTATCCCCTTTTAACAGTTTAGCAATATTTCTTTCGATAGTCTACAGAACAAACCATCGATATAGAATAACTTGCCTATAATTCCCCTAACCTGCCTAGTTAACCTTATTAACCTAGTTAAACCTTTAAATATCACTTTAAGCTAGAAGTGTCTTGAAAAATATCAAGTAAAATATTATTTACTGTCAGCATGGCAAAGAGAAAATAAACCAGTTATTAGAAATTAGTTATTAAAACTTTTACGCTTAGAAATGTGCTGAAACAATCTTCCCTTCATTAAACAGAAATTGGAGGAAAAAATAGACAGGGGTGCTAATAATTCAGTGGGGCTAATAATTCTGACTTCAACTGTATACAGTATATATATATATATATATACTTGTTTAGCATACCATATTTTTATAGACTTTTCAGCATTGTTAAAATTGTATAATATACAAAATAAAAACAAGTTATAATAAAAAATAGTGTTATGCTTTTTTCTTCAAATGCATTACATTTTTTTCACGAAAAAAAAAAAAGAAATTAAATACTCAAACATAAATTATACTCAACTCCATACTCATTATACTCGACATAACTTCATACATCCAAATTGCCCAGAAAAGAATCTTGTGATGATCGTAATTTAATTTCCACTAAGTTTTATAGTAACACGACAGAATCATAAACAGCCAAAGTCAAGCAAAATGTGCACTTACTGTGAAAACCGGCTCTGATTTCAGTACAGCACCGGCTCAAGTCCAACCAGAACTAAAGAAGCTGAATGAAAAAGATCAGAAGCTCATCAAAGACTTCACGGTCTCTTCTTCGTATGAGATCTGCATGCAACAAAAAGATGCCAAACAGACGACTGAGAAAAGAGAATTGCTAAGAAGAAAAGTAATGAGTCTCAGCTACATTCATGTATAAAGCATCCAGACGAATCACTACCAGCTCCTCCCATGAACACCCCCATTTACAGTACATCACAAGCATGTCTGTGCATAAGTCTAACAAAGAATGCAGACAGTACATTTCCTAAAAGCATTAGCAGTTTATAATTATAATTTCCATTTACGAATAATTTATTCTAATGAATATCAATTGTATTCATTTGCATTAACTAATGAGCATCATTTTTGTTTAATTATACTTACTAATAGTTATTATTTTAAAACAACATCTGACATTTTTCAAATAACTATGAGATCTATTTATGGATTTAAGTGTACAAAAGTGTATAAGCTTTTCGGATATTAAAAATCAGGCCTTTATTTGTCACATACACTTTCGCAGTGGTGGAAAGAGTACTGAAAAATCAGACTCAAGTAAAAGTACCATTACTTGCCTAAAAATGTAGTGTAAGTAAAGTAAAAGTATCTGTTGTAAATTTTACTCAAAGTATGAGTAAAAAGTAGACCTTTCAAAAGTACTCAAGAGTAGTGAGTAGTGAGTATTACACTTTTAAAAGCTGATGCGTTTACATGTAATTTGTGGGTGTGTGTAAACGTAACATTCTGTAGAGCATCGAGTTATTGCTGAGCAGGCGCACAACATCATAAGACATTAACATTAGGTCAGATTGTCTAGCCAGCATCTATTTGTTTAATAACACCATCAAATGACGTTGATATTTGGTTTTCTTTAGGTTGTGTTGGAAAGTGACCAAAATCCAATGTCGAGCAAACATCCAACATTATTTTGGCATCACATGCTGACACTTCCATGATTTTCATGGAAAAACAAAATGCAACATCCTCATGACACTGGGGTACTTCATTCTGACATCATGTTGACATCTTGTGCCTGCTGGATGTTTAAGGCCATTTGGGTCATCATACAGTAAACATCCGTCATCTTCTCATCAGTGACATGCATCTTAACAGTCTCTGGGTCAATGCATGTAAAGATTTTGGACATCTTGTAGACTTTTAATGCTTTCAAACAGTTTGCTGCAATTATAAAGCGCACATGTTTTGAGGAAGGGTTGGGTATCGTTTGAGGTTATTTCAATATCGGTGCTAAATCGATACTTTTAAAACGGTGCCAAAACAGTGCCTGAACCCATACTTTTTAGCCACAAAATTATTTGACAAAAAAATATATATAAATTTTAATCATTATAATTGAACAATATATATATACAGTTGAAGTCAGAATTATTAGCCCCCCTGAATTATTAGCACCCCTGTCTATTCTTTTCCCCAATTTCTGTTTAATGGAGGGAAGATTGTTTCAGCACATTTCTAAGCGTAATAGTTTTAAAAACCTATTTCTAATAACTGATTTATTTTCTCTTTGCCATGATGACAGTAAATAATATTTTACTTGATATTTTTCAAGACACTTCTATACAGCTTAAAGTGACATTTAAAGGTTTAACTAGGTTAATAAGGTGAACTAGGCAGGTTTGGGTAATTAGGAAAGTTATTCTATAGCGATGGTTTGTTCTGTAGACTATCGAAAAAAATTTGCTTAAAGGGGCTAATAATTTTGTCCCAACAATAGTTTTTAAAAAATTCAAAACTGCTTTTATTCTAGCCGAATTAAAGCAAATGAGACTTTTTCTAGAAGAAAAAATATTATCAGACATACTGTGAAAATTTCCTCTCTCTGTCAAACATCATTTGGGAAATATTTAAAAAAGGAAAATAAAAATCTAAAGAGGGCTAATAATTCTGACTTCAACTGTATATTTATAATAAGTTTAAAGTAAACATCAATTCATATATTATATATTTGGATTGCATTTATTTATTTATTTTGATAACTTTATTTTGAGGTAGTTCATTATGCTATATACTTTCTATGTGAGATTTGATTGGACAGGAATCACAGGACTGATTTTTCTAATCCCCATAGACAAGAAAAAATAAAGTAGTAACTCCAGGTTGAAGAAATATAATGGAGTGTAAAAATATACTATAAGGCAGGTAAAAGTACACACTTTTAAAATTACTTACTAAATTATAATTCCTGAGAAAAACTACTCGATTACAGTAATTTGATTATTTGTAATTAGTTACTTTACACCACTGCACTTTTGTATAGTGAAATTGAACCTCCCATACATAAACATCACAATTTTCATGGGAAAACAGGTCATAGCAGTAGCATTTAGAAAGGCAAGTAAGATACATCTGGAGAGTGAGGCCAAAAAAACACCTTCTCAGCTTGCTCTTGATTAGGGCAGGGTGAGAACAGGAAGGAAAACACAGCCTGATCTTGGCATAAGCACACCGGCAAGACACAACATTGTGTCTACATTTATCTGTAGATATGTTTGTGTGTGTGTTAGCCTGTATAGTCAAACAGGTGTCCTTGCCAGGGGGCAGGAAATTCAGAGCTTCTCCTTATTTGGTTATCCGGCGGAGTTGTTTTCCTCCAGCCGAGGCCGTCTGGCAGGGGAAAGAAGAGAGACGAAAAAAATACAGAAAGATATTCCAACTTTAGGTCAATATCTGCCAATTTCACAGATATTTAATGTCCATCACTCGTCTCCCGATCTGCCCAAATCTTGTTGCAGAGCCGCTAATTTCATCCTCGATGTTTTCCAATTTGCGGTCAAGGATAATAGTCTGATTCACGACCCTACCCATATGCATTTCAATCAAGCCGGCCAGTCTAGTGGGGTTTTGCGCAGAACTGACCGCTTTTATCAGTTTCCGATACCCCAGGGCCCCACATAAGCCCATCAGCAGAAAGCCTGTTATCAAAGTTATGAATAGGTAAATATCTTCAATATCCTCCAGAGACAGAGCAGCCATGCACAGGACTCGCCATTTCTCCCACCCGTCCGTCACGTATCCAGCTGTGAACGTCCCAGCAGGACAAGTAGGCTCACCCGAGCCCAAACTTCTCATCGAGAAGATGGTGTCAATTGCATTCAGAGACCAGTTGATCAAATCCATAATTCATCACACATTAAATTGAATAAATGAATGAGTGGCTGGATGAATGAATGAATGGTTGAATTGTCGAATGGGGGAATTATTGAATGAATTAATCCATGAGTGAATGGATAGATGGATACATGAATGAATGGATGGATGGGTGAATTACTGAATGAATTAATCCATGAGTGAATGGATAGATGGATACATGAATGAATGGATGGATGGGTGAATTACTGAATGAATTAATCCATGAATGAATGGATAGATGGATACATGAATGAATGGATGGATGGGTGAATTATTGAATGAATTAATCCATGAATGAATGGATAGATGGATACATGAATGAATGGATGGATGGGTGAATTGTTGAATGAATTAATCCATGAGTGAATGGACAGATGGATACATGAATGAATGGATGGATGGGTGAACTATTGAATGAATTAATCCATGAGTGAATGGATAGATGGATACATGAATGAATGGATGGACGGGTGAACTATTGAATGAATTAATCCATGAGTGAATGGATAGATGGATATATGAATGAATGGATGGACGGGTGAATTATTGAATGAATTAATCCATGAGTGAATGGATAGATGGATACATGAATGAATGGATGGATGGGTGAACTATTGAATGAATTAATCCATGAGTGAATGGATAGATGGATACATGAATGAATGGATGGATGGGTGAATTATTGAATGAATTATTCCATGAGTGAATGGATAGATGGATACATGAATGAATGGATGGATGGGTGAATTATTGAATGAATTAATCCATGAGTGAATGGATAGATGGATACATGAATGAATGGATGGATGGGTGAATTATTGAATGAATTAATCCATAAATGAATGGATAGATGGATACATGAATGAATGGATGGATGGGTGAATTACTGAATGAATTAATCCATGAATGAATGGATAGATGGATACATGAATGAATGGATGGATGGGTGAATTATTGAATGAATTAATCCATGAGTGAATGGATAGATGGATACATGAATGAATGGATGGGCGAATTATTGAATGAATTAATCCATGAGTGAATGGATAGATGGATACATGAATGAATGGATGGATGGGTGAATTATTGAATGAATTAATCCATGAGTGAATGGATAGATGGATACATGAATGAATGGATGGATGGGTGAATTATTGAATGATGTACCATTCATTCTCCTTTGGCTTAGTCTCTTATTTATCAGGGGTCGCCACAGCAGAATTAACTGATAACTTATCCAGCATATGTTTACGCAGCGGAGGTCTTTCCAGGGCAACCCAGTGCTGGAAAACACCCATACACACTCATTCACAAACACACTCTTACACTACGGCCGATTTAGCTTAATCAATTCACCTACATGCATGTGTTTGGACTGTGGGGGAAACCCGGAGGAAACCCACGCTTACACTGGGAGAACATGCAAACTCCACGAGAGGGGTCTGGATGCAGACCTAGTGCAGTGCAATCTGAGCTGCATCTAATGCTTTTTAATGCGCTCACCTAACCCCACCCCTTAGTCTACCCGGCACAGTGACGTCACTCACTCCATTGAGTGCATTGTGTCTGAGATTGCATTGTTGAGTGATGAATCTCAGCTTGCATCATTAAGGCTGCATCCAGATACTATTGAACTGAAAACCATGTACTATACTATATGCCAGCTGACCCAGCCGAGGCTCGAACCAGCAACCTTCTCGCTGTGAGGCGACAGTGCTAAACATTGAGCCACCGTGCCACCATGTATCAAATGTCTCAAAAATGTACTTGAAGGATCGAAGATAAATCTCCAGTGTGGACTCTTAATATCCTTCCTGACCTGCTGGATCTTATGTACAGCTTCATTTCATGTGTGTCAGCATGCTGTGTGGAAACGTCTCACTGTCTGCCTCTAATCTGAAGCTGAAACATGTGCTGTTTAAATGTCAAGCAGGAGTCAAGCAGGAGTAAAACAATAAAACCTAAATCTGAGCAGAAACATA